ATCTCCCACGTTCTGATTAAAAACTGTAATCATTTTGTCAATAGGCATAAACCTTTGTTGTAGGAGTTTGTAAACAATACTGTGCTAAAAAGGAAATATTTTATAATTAAAATATTATGTAACTATTTATCATTGCTAAATAAAGTAAAAATAGTTTAACTGGAAAATAGATAATGTTGGTTATTAAAGTTTCTAGATATAAATGCTTCTATTGTTTAATTACAAATTGATGATGTATATGTTTGTAATAATAAACCAGTGCACGCTTTAGGGCAATCAAGATTTACATAAAATTACCTTAGCTAGTAGCGCCTTTAACTTCTGTGTTGTATCGATTACAGTATTTTTACCATCCTCTTGTAATGTAGAAATCAAATCAGAATAATTTTTATTTCTTTAGTCATACTGTCTGTTTTATTTGTGTTGTCTTGTATCTTTTTATTTATTGAGTGCAGGTTATTTTCACATTCCTTTATTTCTAAAGAAAGTTTCTCTAGTGCTTTGTTTGTCTTGTTTTCGTTTTCTTTTAAAGTTTCAATTTCTTTATTCAGTTCCTTTACTTTATTATCTTGTTCACTTATTTGTTTTCTAAGGTTTTTTAAATTATGTTTTTCTTTCTTAGTTGACTGCTCCATGCAGTGGCGGAACTAGAAAAAATGGGCCACCCCGCAAAAATTGTTTTAGGCCCCCCATATATATATATATATATATATATATATATATATATATATACATATATATATATATACATATATATATATATATATATATATATATATATATATATATATATATATATATATATATATATATATATATATATATATATATATATATATATATATATACAAACAAAAAATATGAGCATAGGATACTCGTATCTGGCCTGATCGGGTTTTGAAAAAAAAGTGTCTGTTTTTTTGTCAATTAAAAAAATTATCACATCATCTCATGTGTGTACATCATCTCATGTGTGTGAGTGCATTAGTCTGTTTTGAAAATAGGTTTCATTTTAAGTCAGCCGTATTAATTTTTCACTACGAGTCTGTCAAAAGAATAAGAAATATCAAAGCTTTGTGTAAGAAATGGTTTCTCGTGTTATGTTTATTTTTATGTTTATTTTTTATTTTTATTATTAACTTTTAATAAATTTCCTTTTTATACTATGTCATTCTTTAGTATGTATTAAAACAAAAATAATTGCGAGAAGGAATTGCGTTTTAATTGTTTAGTACAAATCTATTTACAGTCAAAAATGAAAGTAAATTAAAGTTTTTTAACTATAAAAAATTGATTACGGTTGGCTGTGGGCCCCTAAACGGCGTGCCCCCCCCCCCCCCCCCCGCATTGCGGGGTCTGGCGGCACTGTAGTTCCGCCCCTGGCTCCATATTTATGTTATGGTCATCTTGTTCTTTTTGAAACTTATCTCGTCATCGTTTTATTTCTGATATATTATCTTGAATATTTTGTTGCGTGTCTTGAAGAGAAGATAAAGTTGTTTCAATCTGTTGTATTCTGCTTGCCATATCTGTTTTTAATAGAACACTCCTTTTATGATTTATTTAATCATTCCTATAATACGCCTTAAATAAACATTCGTTATAAAAATTTCAAAGTATAAAAAATATGATCTTACATATATTTTCTAATTTAACTTTTTGTTAATATTCGAGTATTCACCAACTAAACGATATTTATCTTAACGCAAATAATAAAATGATAAGATATGATTACCTCTGTGTATTTTAATCGGTATATACAAATTCTTACTTAAACCATAATCTTAGAATAGATACGAAAGCCTACACATATTATTTGAAATTTCGAACAGATATTTTTTTACCGGACCATTGTTCAACCCGCCCTTTTGATTCTGCTGTATCATGTTGTGTTCTGGTTTCTTGGGTGAATTGAGGTGGACGTGGTTCATTGTCATCTAAACCATTGTTATCTTGTTCTAAATGAAATAGATTATATTTACTTATACTTCCACATTCCACACATAAAGTTCATTTATTAGAGATGGATCTCTATATTTGTTTTATTTTAAAAAGTCAATTTTTTTAAATTTTAGCCCATATTTTTTAATGTATTTATTTAAAAAAAAAAAAACATAAAAAACGTTTGAATTACAAGAGTTTATAAAATAATGCATTAATATTTTCTTTAAATATATAAAAAGACACTACTATTTAAAGAAAAGCGTGGTTCACTATTATCTATTGTATACTTTTACTAATACTTAGGGATAGACCCACACTATTCTTTACAGTTATTTAGATAGTAGCTACTTATTATATAATAGACTTCGGTACGCGTTATACGTGAGTTAAAGGACTATATATTTTAATGTTATACTTGTTTCCGAAAAAGATTTTTGTAAAATAGTTATTAGTCAAAACGCAGTGTGCTTTACTACACGTTGAACGATATTAGTGACAAAGCAAAGAAATTACTAAATAGCTAAATTCCGACTCATTTAAAATACCAATACCGTTTTCAAAACCGAATTATGTACACTTTTAGCCAACCAAATTAAATACACACAATAATTAAGAGACTTGAATAATTATGTTAAAAACCCGGCAGTTCAATGGTTTGTTTGTTGATTTAAAAAAAAAATTCGATTAGTTTTGGCCGAGAAAATTATACACATTTCATAGCGTACGTCTTGATAAATAGATCTTTCGATCTCAATCAAATATGAATGAAATAGTTCATTTCTTCCTATTCAAAAATTGGTAGATGACACCATTAGCTATGTGTATTTTCCGTAGTTTAAACATGTAACATGTGACGTCGTTGTTTTTTGCGTTCTTGTCACAACTATAAACACCTTTTTTGGTTGCATAATCAAAAATGTGTTTCTACATTCGAATATGCTTTTTTTAATTTCCTTCTTTAAATACATTTAGCTGATACATTTAAAAAATCTAACATATTATTTTAAAACAAAAGTCTCAATCGTTAAGTTCTCTATAAATCGCTGAACATACTGATCTCATAGCCTCAAAAATGTTGCAGAGAGAGAGAGAGAGAGAGCTAGATAAAGAGAGAGAGAGAGAGAGAGAGAGAGAGAGAGGGAGAGAGGGGAGAGAGAGATTGGCTTTTGTATATAAGGATTTAAATAAGAATATTCTCTCCTCTTATGTTTGTGTATTACATAAAACTATTTTTTAAATACGATTTTTCATGCCTTTTTTCAGGAATAAAAAATTTGCATGAAAACTTTTTAATAACAAGCTCTTATGTAACAAGAAAAAAATGATTTATAAAAATATATAATACTACACTACTATTTTAAAAACATACTTAACATTTCTGACGACACATCCAACAAGGCAGTGGTGACTGAGTCGAGTTCTTGCTGTAACTCAATGTAGGTCATGCACGGTAGGCTATTTTTTGATCTTGTAGCCAAGTATTACTTTTCTTCACAACCTGGTTTTTAATTTAAAACAAGTATATTTGTATACCTGTATAATCTGGGGTAGGTAAAAGAGTCAAGACATGTTCACCTCTCCCTCTACCGCCCCCCCCCCCCCCATTATCACTAGCCAGAATTCTTGTAACGATGACTTAGACAATCCATATAGCTTTTTATTCTTTATTTATATGAGCTTTTTGTATGCACGAAATTACAGTTTAACTTACATTTTTCATAGCTTCAATAACAGGTTCCACAATTCGAATCTGTTCTTGTAAATATTTCATGTGATTAGTGACTTGTCTGATTTGAATTCTCGTACGCATCTATGGAAAACACAGCTAGCTTAAGTAAGATACTCTCTAATGTGTGTTCATTCAGATAAGTATTTGGCAAGTGACATTTAGGAAATCGGATAAGAGAAAAAATATTATGGAGGGTAGCCGGCTATTCTTACCAGATACTATGGCACTATTAGTTGATTTGCACCGCCTTACAATATTTCATTACCTACAAACTAAATGATTAAAGTTGGCAGTGAGAAAAATCTAACCGTTATTTCTTACAAAATTGGATTGCATTCATGTTACACATAGAGATAAGACGAACAGACAGATGTTGTCGGTAATAAAAAAAATGTAAAATCTCAATTCTTTTTTATTCAGAAAAGATAAGTTACTTTGCTTTAACATAAGATTAAAGTAGAAAGTAATTTAGTGATAGATTCTGCAGGACTAAAGTAACAATTGTAATAGTTAGAATTCAAAATACAGTATGATATTTTGCTACCGATGTAATTCAATACATATAGGGAATAATCATTATTCAATTTAAAATCTTTACCTTTCTAACAAAGTTACATTTTGACCATTGACCTTGATAATAAAAATAAACTGTGTCAGTTTTATCATTAATTATTAGCTAGTCACACCACCATGTATATAGATATCTGAACGAAGTATAAACGCTCACACGACTCCAGTCATTAAGATCTAAATCACGCAAATATTATCCGATCACACATTAGTTAGTGAACGAAAAACGTATAACAAATCAACCGTCATCGTAGGATAATCTCGATATAAAACGACGTCATACGAGCACTGAGAAGACTTGTGGTTGTAGCCACCACACGGTATCCACACAAATGATGATGCTCATTAGGATTTAGTTTTCTTCTGCATTGAATATTCTATCATAAACTCTCATTCATTTGTTTTCTCGATAGAAATTATTTAAAAGTGAACTCTTCATGATTTGATTATAACTGAACTTTTACTGGACTTATTCATGTTCCTAACCTAATTCTAGACCTAACACAAAATCTAACCAAAAAGTCTATATGCATATATTAAGAAATATATGGTAGATACATATAATACATATGCAGGTCTATATATTAGTACATATGTAATGAAATTAAACAGTATATTATGTTACCTTTTTAATTCAGTGTGTTGTTGCAATAAAAACAATAGCAGTCACAGTTATGTCCCTTGAGTTGTTGTGTACCTTGTACTGAGGTTTCAACGTAATTTATAATAGCGGAATTTCCCGTTTATTACTTTCAGTTTCACGAGCAGGATATAAGCTGTGGAATAGTGTAAGAAAGTTATACCTACACGTCAAAAGAATACCAGAAGTCAAGATTAAAGTAAGTGTGATCAGATGATTTAGAGATTATACATGTATCTTAATTTAGTAATAAAACCTGTATTCAATTGTGGATCATATAATGTGTCGTTTACTTTGAATTTTTCGAATACAATTAGTACCTATTTTAAGATATGTTAAAGATGGAGGAACATGATTATATAATCAGATATTAGTTTCTTCGACATAAAACAATTTGAATGACCTACTAAATACAAAGATTCGTGGTTGTTACCTGGATAAAATATTTTAGTTGGCGGCAAAAAAACAGATCTAGCAGCCTACGACTCTTGTATTGCTGGCCATGTTTATTAATAGAATTTTTTTTTTCATAAAAGCTGATTTTCCCGATGGACACATTTATTTTCATTTGTTGGATGTAAATGTAAAGAGTGCAATTTCATGCGATAAGAAAAATAATAATATTCAAAATTTATAGCAGAATAACGTGATAAATAAACACATATTAAAAGTCTATCAATAAATTTGCTTGCTATTTAGCCATGTTAAAAATGTAAATTATATGTGATTTTTTAAAATTATCTTATTGTAAATATTTTGTTTTTCTTAATTGGTTTACAGTTTTCTGATTTTTCAAGTTAATTAGTTTACATCTCGACCAAATCTTTTAATTATTTTGTTAGATGCGACCCAGGATTCACCTTGAACTTGTTACACGACACAAGAAATATTTGGAAGAAAAGATACAAGTTCTGGAACCTGTCTTGGAAGTTATGAAAAACGTAAACGATTAATCATATTGTTATTTGTTCACAAATTATAAATAGTGCAATAACTTATGTAGAACAAAGTAGTTAAGGAATAATTTTAAAAGAAGAATATTTAAGGTTTACACAGAATATTGGAAAATGTTTTTTTATATACAAGGCTGTAGAAAAAAGTCAGACTTGGATAGAAGATAAAAATGACAACCCGCCTCTCACGTACATCGACCTTTGCCAAGAACTAGAGGAAGCTACATTGAGTTTGTTGAATGCGTCTACATCTATCATAAGTAAAGCTTTTTTTTAAAAATTGTAATAATGTTTACTTGAAGATCTATGAAACAAAATACCGTAGTTCCAGCTACAGAAAATTATACAAATAACAAAGAATACATATTCGACTATTTCAATATGTAACAAAACATTATTTTGTTCATTTACATCACCAAGATGATAATAAAGACTACGTAGATGTCGAGGGATATACGCCATCATTATCTCAGTCAACACCACAGACTACAGCAGCAGAAAAACGTGACCATAATGAATCAAAACATCAAGTCACTAAACACGTTCAATCAACAGCGGGTATGGAATATTTAGAAACTAAAACAACTAAATCTTAAGATGTAAACATATATGTCTCAGCTTCATTAAAAATAAAGCATTTATGATTTACTAAACACAATTAATACTTAGAATAATTTCATTAGTTTATCATGTATTACTATAGAAATATTGAGTCGCCTTGAGCAGATAGAGACAGCCATATCTTCTCTACAAGACGTCAGTCGACTTGAGCAGATAGAGACAGCTATATCTTCTCTACAAGACGTCAGTCGACTTGAGCAGATAGAGACAGCCATATCTTCTCTACAAGATGTCAATGACAAGTCTACAGATGACATATCAGAAATAAAACAATGGAGAGACAACTTTGTAACAGAACAGAGCGACATGGGGGTAAACATTGAACAACTGACTAAAAAACAAAAACAGAATTTTAAAAATCTCAGAAAACAAATGAATGAACAGGATAACAAAGTAAAAGAGCTGAACAAAGAAACTGAAAGTTTAAGAGAACAAGAATTCATGTCAAACAAAACACTAGAGAAACTGTCTCTAAATATGAAAGAACATGAAAACAACTTACACAAGATAAATAAAGAGTTACAATTTCACACGGATAAAACAGACAGTAAAACACAAGAAATTAAAAGACTTTCTGATGAGATTGTTTCTTTAGAAGAGGATTATAATAAAACCATGGCAAATGTATCAACCAAATTTGAGAAGTTACAGTTAAAGGTAAACATTAAGATTGCTAATTAATTGGGTATACGTTTGCTGACAAGTTTATATACTACACATTTTATAAACAAGGTGTACCTTTAATTAAAAATCAGTTTATTAATTTTTATAACAGTAAGACCATTGATTCTAGAACTATATTTAGAGCACGTTTTTAATTCTGCAATTTAATATTAAAAAGTAGTCAAATTTGTAATAATCCATTAAAATCATTGGCCATTTAGCACAATGTGATGTGCAAACTCCTTCAACAAAGATTGATGCCATTTGACAGACTGATTCAAATCTTTAACCAGAACTTGGAAACTAGAGAAGAAAGAATAAATAAGGTCTGTTTGTAAATATCTAATTACTATATAATCTGTAGCATAGGGCATTAGTTGTCTAATTATTTTCAGACAAATGAATGACATTTGTTAATTAAGTGGTATCTAATGTTAGTATAAAAAACAAGTTAGTGCTATAAAAATCAATTTATCTAATTACACTTTGCTATTCTAAAGTGAGTGGACCTATTGTATCACTTACGCTGTTATGTGATAACTTTATTCATTAAATTTATACTATAATTTATTTTAATTCAGCTAGAAACTATGGAAAATGTTATATCAAAGTTGACGATGGATTTCAATGTAATCGGTAAGTTTCTTCTGGAAAAAATAATCTTACATCATGATATAAGTTAATTATTCAATCTATATTATCTCTATCTAGATGTAAATATAAAACTTTATTGTAGAATATCGATGCAAACTCCATACTTTCCTATTTTAGTTTACGAGCCTCTTTAATATTAAACATAATACCATGTATAAGTTTGAGCGATTTTCGTTAGCCAAACAGAGCATAATATAGAAAAATGATTCGAACATTTCACTCACCCATGATGGTACCAGCCACTAGACCCGTGGGTTTCGCCATACATTTGTTTCTCACCTGATGCATTAAAAACCAGGTAAATCTGTTACAGTAGGAGGTGAATATAGCTACAGTTTTTTTATAATGTTAACTAAAACTTCAGCTCTTTAAGTTTCTGCTACTAAAACAGTGTGTTCTAGTACCAAGATTTCAATTTTCAAAATATTTTGTTGTAATTTTTCTTCACGGCAATATTATCATTCAATTGGTTCTGGTCGTTTTTGTGTTAATAAACTTGCCATATTTATTTTTACAATCTTCTGATGTATTACGGCTTTTAATACTAATCGTTTGCATGTATAATGAAAAAAAAAACAACGGATATCATATATCTTGAGGACGGTACTAAACTAATAGTTTCAATACGCAGGAGACGATTAACTAACACTACAAAAATTGTCGGGGTACTAACTAATCATTTCAATAAGTGCTGTTATAGACGATTGTATAAAAATAATCCACAAGTCTTTATTTGTTGAGACATTGTTTGTCTTCTATTTTTATTTTGTACTTACATGTCATAAATCATGCACTTTCACTAGGACATGTTACACACTTATGGCAAGCATTGGTGGAATTAAACATGTAAATAATACAAATGTTTTCCAATCAACAGAGTCACGTGTATGTAACAGATATGCTTGTCATGTGGAGCTTGCTCAACCAACACCTGTCAGTTATGTAAAAATTATTTTAAAATTTCGTGAAGTTCGTGAATATAACGGTAAACACTTTAATCAAACAACAGGAACATTTGTATCACCACATGATGGTTTATATCTTGTCTGTGTCAGTCTACATGAATCGGGAGATAAAAATATTCAAGTTGGTGTGTGGGCTGGAGGCAGGTGGTGTACGTTAATAGCAGTGAAATGTGCCAACACTAGCGCTGCTGGGTCAGTGGTTGTTGACATGAAGAAAGGTCAAGAACTTTACTTTCAAGTGGTGGAAGCAGATAAAAAGGCAGCTTTATCCTGGCTCAGTAGCTTTACTATCGTCAGTTTATAGAAGTACAAAACAAAACATGGTGGATGGTAAATTCTCAAAAAATAAAACATGTAACCACCGTGTTAAACACACGCTAACAACTTACTATGTGTGTAGAATACTTGTCTACACAAAACTAATGATTTCATGTTATTTGTTTAGCCGTCAGTACACATGTCAAACTGATTTTATGTGATCGCCAATTAATATGTTCTACTTGACTACAATATACATATACGAAAGCTATAATTTTACATCTTTTAACGCTTCTGTAAGAGAGCTTTGCGTGAACCATTTAATTTGTTTGCGTTTCGTATGTTAAAAATAAAACATATTATTTTGTATTAAATATGAAGTTGAAACCTGCATTTTTGAGACAAATCTAATGAACAATTTTAAAGACGAATGTTTAAATAAGTTCACAAGACAACAATATGAGTCTGATAGTTTAATATAATAATTAATTTTATGCATTTGTAAATATATTGGAATGTGATTAAATGTAAAAACATATTAGATCTAATACATTACCGCTTTTCTTGATTGTGTTTTTAGTCGGTAGCATTGTATTTGTAAATGAACACCTACCCAAACACACACACCGCACATACAAAAATAGGCCATTCGTTTATATAAATAAAAGATAAGCATATATATATTCAAATAACTATGTTCTCATTCAAATTATGCAGCTAGACATATTACCTGAGTTTGATTAGTGATAAGTAATCGTTACTTCATTCATTTAAGTTAGGGTTTAGTAGATGAGGTGGTGGCTACGCTTGATTAAACACAGCTACACTCAAGTATGTTTTTACACATTTCAAGTTTTTAAAGAAATTTTCTACACGAAAGCTAACGACGACAGTTTACATGAAGTGACACAACACACATTATCTCTCGTGACGGTTAAGGAAACATTTACATCTTTACCTGACCATTGATGAGATAACCAAACTCCACAAGACAGAGAATGACATTTACCTCATTTTAACTGGCTGAACATGACCTACAACTATAAATTTAACTGAGCTTGTTATATATTTTTCTCTCCCTGATATGCACACAAACCCCTAGTACTGCATTAGTCACATGAGAGCTATGAAATTATAGGTTATGACCATTAAACAGGCAGACATTAATGTAATTAATGAAGTGGTTTCAACAGGTCATAAGTAAGAGATCAGATGTTGTAAGTGAGACCCATCAACCCACGTATTTACTTAAGTCTATGTGTCTACAAAACTTTCTAATACGTGTGTAATTGTTTATTAGATTTCCAGGTTTGTAATCGTAAAGTCAACATGAATGATGTCTGCCCATACGTCTTTGTGAGCTAAACCAGGACATGTGTGTGATGTTGTTGATTTCCTCATACGTGAATACAAGTACTCACATGTATGCTAGCGAAAAATTACAAACACACACACATGAACACATACGTACAAGCACACGTATTCGTGCACTCGAAAACATCAATTGCACGCTGCTAAAGGATTTCAGGTATAAACGTTCTTGAAAACAGCTCCGCGCTAGTAAATGTGCCAACATTTTGAGGCATCTTACATTTTCATGCGTAAACATGGTACTGATATGTTTAGATTTTGACTTGTGTGTTATGTGGGGTAAGTTACAATAACTTGTATTTTATAACCGATAACATCAAACGTTTATATATTAACAAGCATGTATTCAACACGACTTTTTTTTCCAAACATACACTATTAGTTGTAGGATATGGCACGCATAAACAAAAGACTGATGAAAAATAAACGAAAATAGTTATATAACGATACCAACCTATTTATTAATAATCCTTCATGTGTAGAAAAAAATATTCTAGCAACAGGATTCATATACTTTCAATAATTTTACACCACAAAATGAAATAATATCAAGTCTTTGCTACGATCAGCCTTCGCTATGTTATGTTCAGTCTTCTGAAATGAGGTTCTATTGTCTGATAAAGTAAGGTACATGTCATCTATTGTCTGGTGTAGTAAAGTACATGTCATTAAGTGACTGCTGAAGTTATGTACATGTCATCTAAGGTCTAGTGAATTGCAGTACATGTCATTTATTGTGGAGTAAAGTGAGGCACATGTCAGATATGGTCTCTTGAAATGAAGTACATGAGAGAAATAAAGTTTAACTACAAATAAAACAGTAGGTGTACGTTTAAAAATATAATATATTTCACGATATAGGCCCAACACATTTTGCGTTAAAAGCTGCAAGACTTGAATTAATAAAAATAAATGGAAAGTTGTTTACAAAGGAACGTATCGAGATATTTCAGACGCCTTAGATTAGTGTATTGGTTACGTCCCTTATTCTTGTATTGTGTTGATGTTTTCTTTGAACCCACTAGCATCTTTAAAACTATTAGTTTAATACCGCCCTCGTCAAAATTCTGAACGCGACTAAATAATTAATCTCCATATTGTTTTAAACGGTTGTAAATGAAATTATGAAAAGTACGAAAATTGGAAGTCACAAATACTAAACGAAATACATGTTTAACTATTAAGTAGCGGTAAGTACTACTATGTTTAGTGAATTTTAATAAAGTTTTATTCTGTTTAGAGATACAGTTTAGCATTAAACGTAAAAGTACTAAGTGCATTAAAGTGATCTAAATGATTGCCTAAAAGTCAAAATAGTAAATGCATCCCTTAAGTAAGCTTGTAAGTCGGCTTGTATCCAATAAAAATACGTTTAGTAAAACCAGTCAATTGCTTTACATTTGTTTTAATAGTTTAATTTTTTGATACAACATGTGTTATTGTTTTGCCATTAAAGTCCATAAATGGCGATGGATGTGATGTACCATTAGGAGGGAGGACGATTATATTGCAACGAAAGCTATGGATTTCAATCGACACTGAAAAACAAAAGTTGGGCAGCCGAGGAGATCACGGAGAAGAACCATAGAAGTTCTGCTTCTGCTGAGTTGTTAAATTATTGTTGTCCTGTTGCTTTTTTCGGCTACAAAGTTGTCTCTCCATTGTTTCTTTTCTAATATGTCATCTTTAGTCTTTTGTTTCATTATTTAAAGAGAAACTATAGCTTTCTCTATATTTTTCACTCAAATCTGATACACGTTTATAACTCACATGAGTTCGATTTAGATCATTGTGTATAAAACAAAAAAAAATATATGTAAATGTGACGTACCTGTGTGAAGGAATGACTTAAATGACTTTGTGGTTCTACTCTACATGTAAGTAATAGATAGGCTAAATACATGTTCATTTTAAAGTAACATCTGCCTGTAAGTAACAAATAGGCTAAATACATGTCCATTTTAAAGTAACATCTGCCTGAAAGTAATAGATAGGCTAAATGAATCTTCATTTTAAAGTAACATCTGCATGTGACTTATAAAGTGGCACTTTAAAGTTATTCTAAACGCATGTGACTCCAAATGGGATACCGATACTTAAATACATATGACTGTAAAAGTGATGACCTACACACATATTTAAACTGCCACAAGATAATATCTCGTGAAGGACGGTTTCTGCACTCATCTCGCTCTTTTTTATCCACCCCCACCCCACCCCCACGTTATTCTAGGTTTCAAACACTAAAAATAAGTGTATTGAACATATCAATGTTCAATTTTCTTTTAATTTTGTTTACATTAAACTATATGGATCTCGTAATTTGGAAAATGAATTGATAGTTAAATCATTAAGGTTAGACACAGAATCTCATACTGACAGCACATAAACCAAACGACCAAACAAAAAATTTAAAATAAAATATATACTAATTTGAATTCTTATGTTGTCTACCACGTTATAGTCTAAAGGTTGATATTGTTTAATTTCCCTAACATTCGACATGTACTTAGCTTGTTTTCTGAAACATTAAAGTATTTTTGCTAAAATGTGTTATCAGACTGTTGTACATGAAATAAAACAGAATGCAGGAAAACCCCGTGTTATATTTTTAGTAAAAAGGAAATAAGATTGGTGTCGTAGAGGAAACCAGTCGCTGTAATATTATTTAATGGGTGTATGACCTAACTGGCACATGACTTCACTGCACAGCTTTCCATTTTATCTGCCCAAATGACATGTAGCGCTTACATATAAATATGTAATTTACTACGTTGCAATTATGTTACACATTTATCCATTTATCTTACCTGTAACGTGTAAACATTCAAGTTCATCTGTAACCGACTGTAACCGACTGTTCAATGCATCAAACTGTTCTAGCAAAAATCTGAAAAGTGTCTCGGGTGAGTGGTACTGAGACATCTGATTAAAATTTATGGATATCTAAACCAAGAGTTTAAAATAATCTATATGATGCCTCTGGACTAACACAGCATACTTTTTATGCCTAAAAATTATTAAATTATAAGTTGATTTATTAAAAAACGTTCAATAGTAACGATGTAAAAATATATTGACAATATTGGGGAAGTTAGAGAACAATAGAAGTGTTATCGTGTAAAGTAGCACAAAAAAATTATGAATTATTTCAGGTAATTTCACAATTACTACTCAAGTAGTGCAGCGATTAATGCTGATAACAGTGAAATTCCTTTTTTAAAATCTATGTTCGCTTATCATTGCTTACGTTGAACATTGTGCGGTAATGTTTTTAATTTAAAAACAAAACATTTAGAAAAAATTCTTGATGAAAAATAGTTTTAATATTTATACAGACGGTAAGTGATACAAATTATTGCAGTAAATTATCTATTTTGTTTGAGGGCCTACGTTAAGCTTATCATAGTTCCTTTCCTTGTTGTCCGTTTCATGGCTGTACATTTTGTATTTGGTATTTCCAGATTTCTGTGGACTTCTGCTAGTGAAACTGAAACAGACTAACGGGAAATCCCGATATTATCTGTGTTTACACGTAGGAATTCTGTCTAGAAATCAACAGGAAATTGTTTTATTTACTGCTTGAAAATTAACTTTTTACAAAATTTATATATTTTTTTAAAATTGTAAGTATTATTTTAAATATAATTTGTGTGATATGAATATCTGTGTCTCAGTTTATTTAATTCACACAAAAAAAAACAATACTGCTTTGAGTATAAATGCAGATCTCTTACTCACCAAAAACATAAGACACTACATAAATATTAACTGTATAAACAATTAAAATGTCCATCACACCGACAGATCTGGTACATCATAAGCACATTAAGTTTATCAACTCGATCTGTATATCTATATTTTTATTTCGACACTCTCCTATTTTGGTGTGTTTAACTAAATATTTTATTAACTAGTGACTAATTTAGAACTACCAGCAGGGCGTTTTTATTTAGAACTCTAAACTATGTGTCTATGTCAGTCAGTTAATCTACAGCGATATAATAAAATAACTAATGTGATATTTTTTACTAAAATGGGTACACGTGGAAGTCATATGACAAAATAGGAGTATATTAAAATAAAAAAAATTCATATATAAATATATATATATATATATATATATATATATATATATATATATATATATATATATATGTATATATATATATATATGTATATATATATATGTATATATATATGTATATATATATATATATATATATATATATATATATATATATATATATATATATATATATACCTTAAATAATATAACGTGCTAACTACCTGGACATATGTGTTCTAATTATTTATCTTTTGTTATATATTTCACTTTTTGTCACTATGATACCTTGGCTAAATCTCTAATCACTAATTTTTCTGTATAAAATAAATGTAATAAATCTCAACAGGAAAAGTAAAATGCGCTCCAGAATTCAGCTCAGACATGTTACAGAATTCAAGAAATATTTGGAAGAACAGATGAAATTGATAGAACCTCTCATTTGGGTTCTGCAAAACGTAAGCGATGAATTTAAAAAAAAATCTGTACTTACAACAAGCTATATAATGGAATAACGTACTCCATTGCTAAAAATATGCATTTGCTCTATTTGATCAGGCAGTAGAAAAAAGCAAGATTTGGATAGAAGATAAAAATGACAACCCGTCTATCACCTACAGCGAGCTATGCCAGGAACTTGATTCAGCGACCACGGCAATGTTGGGTGCAGCGTTACACATTATAAGTAAATGATTCGACAACAATAAGATAAAATTATGTTTACAACATTTATGTACTTGATCACCTACAGTGTGAACAAGTAGAACTCATAATTTTTTGCTTACTTTTCTATCAGAATCTACGGTGTTCTAAGTGATTTACATGCCTTATAATTTATTATTTGAAATCCAATGTCTGCTGCAATCACCCACTCACACACGTAAATATGAATGCAATACAATAACGTGTCATTAATTAACAAGAATTAAACCACAAAGTGAAATATGAAAGTTTTAAATTATGATAATATTCATTTATAAAAGTTGAAAATAAAGAGACTTTAGATGTCAAGTTAGCAACGCCATCTTTCTCTCAGTCTACACCACAAACTACAGCAACAGAAAAACGTGACCGAACTAAATCAACAAATCAAGTCACTAAACAAGGGCAACAAACAGACGGTAGAATCTATTTTTTAACGTCGTGGAAAAACATTGAATATATTAGTGTATCTTTAAAAATATTTCTCTAAGAACTCGAATTTAAGAATGAATACAATATAATTAAATTTTCGATTAACTTTAAATTATTATGCAACAGAAATAGTGAGTCGACTTGAGCAGATAGAGACAGCCATATCTTCTCTACAAGACGTCAGTCGACTTGAGCAGATAGAGACAGCCATATCTTCTTTACAAGACTCAGTCGACTTGAGCAGATAGAGACAGCCATATCTTCTCTACAAGACGTCTGTCGACTTGAGCAGATAGAGACAGCCATATCTTCTCTACAAGACGTCAGTCGACTTGAGCAGATAGAGACAGCCATATCTTCTCTACAAGACGTCAGTCGACTTGAGCAGATAGAGACAGCCATATCTTCTCTACAAGACGTCAGTCGACTTGAGCAGATAGAGACAGCCTTATCTTCTCTACAAGACGCCAATGACAAGTCTACAAATGACATATCAGAAATAAAACAATGGAGAGACAACTTTGTAACAGAACAGTGACATGGGGGTAAACATTGAACAACTGACTAAAATACAAAAACAGAATTTTAAAATCATTAGAAAACAAATGAACGAGCATGATAACAAAGTAAAGGATCTGAACAAAGAAAATAAAAGTTTAAAAGAAAAAGAAACCAGTTCAAACAAAACACTAGAGAAACTGTCTCTAGGTATGAAAGAATATGAAAAAAACTTACACGAAATAACTAAAGAGATGCAAAATCACACAGATAAAACAGTAAGTATAACACAAGAAATAAAAAGCTATTCTGATGTAATTGTTGCTTTACAAGAGGATTATAATAAAACCATGGCAAATGTATCAACCAAATTTGAGAAGTTACAATTAAAGGTAAACATTAAGATTGCTAATTAATTGGGTTTACATTTGCCGACAAGTGTATATACTACTCATTTTATAAAGAAGTTGTACATTAAATTAAGTCATTTTATTAATGTTTTCAACAGTAAGACCATTGATTCTAAAACTATACTTAAAGAAGTTTTTATTGCTGCAATTTAATTTCCAAAAAAAATTTAAACTTGTAGTAATCCAATAAAATTATCGGCCATTTAGCACAACCTGATGTACCAACTTCTACAGCAAAAATTGATGCATATTGACAGATTGTTTCAAATATTTAACCAGAACTTAGAAACTAGAGAAGAAAGATCAAAGAAGGTATGTTTGTAAATATATAATTACTGTATAGTCTGTAGCATTGCGCATTAATTATCTAGTTATTTTTAGACCATTGAATGAAAATTGGTAATTAAGTGATATCTAATGTTAGTTTAAAAAAAAAGATAGTGCTATAAAAATCAGTTTATCTAATTATAATTTGCTATTGTAAAGTGAGTGGACCAATTGTATGATTTACGCAGCTATGTGATAATTTTATTCATATAATTTACACTTTATTTTTATTCAGCTGGAAACTATGGAAAATGTTATGTCAAAGTTGACGATGGATTTCAATGTAATCGGTAAATTTCTTTTGGAAAATATTAATCTTACATCATGATATAATTTAATTGGTCAATCTATATTATCACTATATAGATGTAAATATGAAACTTGGATCTGGTCGTTTTTTTTGTTAATAGAATTACCATATTTAATTTTACAATCTTCTGATGTATTACGGCTTTTAATACTAATCGTTTGCATATATAATGAAAAATCAACGGATATCATGTCTTGAGGACGGTGCCCTGTCAAAACGGCCCGGAACAAATCGGCCCCGTCAAAACGGCCCCGTTAATATGACCCCGTCAAATCGACCCCCGACAAAACGACCCAGTCAAAAAAGCCACGTCAAAAGGGCCCCTACGTATTGGCTCCCGTCAAATGGGCTCCCGTTACATTGACTCGCGACATATAGGCTCCCGACAAATGAGCTCCCGACATTTAGGCTCCCGACAAATGGACTCCCGACATATTGTCTCCCGGCAAATAGGCTCAGGACATATTGGCTCCCGACAAAGCGGCTCCCGACATATTGGCTCCCGACATAAGGGCTCACGACAAATGGGCTCACGACAAATGGGCTCCCGACAAATGGGCTCATGACATGTTGGCTACCGACAAATGGGCTCCCAACATATTGGCTCCCGAAAAATGGTCTCCCAACATATCGGCTACCGACAAAATGACTCCCGACAAATTGGCTACAGACAAATGAATTGTATGACCACTATTGGCAGAAAAGTGACCATTTTGTCCTACCTCCACTAGCACTATAACCTCTTTTAAATGTCTGAATGAAATTGCTTTTTCATGAAAAAACATCAATTCACAAACAAATCAAGCCCTTAACAGCTAAAATCCACCAATTCTAAAACTTTGATTAAGTTTATTTTACAACAGTAAACGTCTGTTGCTTAAAAGCGAGCACAGAAGTGAAAATAAATAATATACAAGATGTTTACAGGATAACTGCACTTTGTTTTGATAACTTACAAGCATACAGCTTGTTGGACCCCTCTCCCCACACACTGAGTTGGAACAGCCTATCACCGACTCATTTATGGAAGTCATAGATAGATGACCCTTAAATTAAAACATAATATTTCTTAAAAAAGATAAACTAATATAAAAACAAGGCCTGCCGAACAAGAGATGCAAACGTTGTATTACTTAAGAGTGTTGGATAAGCTAACTCTAAAGAATATTGATGAAGGGGTCTCACTGGCAGGTGTCATATTCAATGAGACCGCTTTGCCGGAAGACTTAGTCTCTACAGAAACGGTATTGTCAGTGGTCCTTTTGTCTGGAGCCAAATTGACAGGAGCCTTTTTGTCGTGAGCCAAAATGACTGGGGCCTATTTGTCGGGAGACGTAATCACGGGGGCCGTTTTTGACGGGGCTCTTATGTCGGGGCCGATTTGTCGGGGTCGTTTTGACGGGGCCGTTTTGTCAATGGCCGTTTTGACGCCGCACGCTTGAGGAAGGTACTAAACTAATAGTTTCAATACGCAGGAAACGATTAACTAACACTACAAAAAATGATCGTTTCAATCAGTGCTGTTATAGAGAATGGTGTAAAAATAATCCACAACTCTCTATATGTAGATCAATGGTTTGTTGTCTATTTTTATTTTGTACTTACATGTCGTAAGTCATGCACTCTCACTTGCACATGTTTCATATTCATAGCATGCATTGGTAGAAATTAAATATGTATATCATATATATGTTTCCCAATCAACAGAGTCACGTGTATGTAAGAGATATGCTTGCATTGCACAGCTTGCTAATCCCACACTTGTTAGTGATAGATCAATTATTTCAACATTTAGTGAAGTACGTGAATACAACGGTCAACATTTTAACCAAACAACAGGAAAATTTGTATCACCACATGATGGTTTATATCTTGTCTGTGTAACTCTACATGAATGTGGCCATAAACTCATTGGAGTTACTGTGATGGCTGGCGGCAGGTTGTGTGCAGTTATAGATGTTAAATCTAATAGAACTAGCGCTGCCGGGTCAGTGGTTGTCGACATGAAGAAAGGGGAAGAACTTTTCTTTAAAGTGTATGCAGCAGATCCAGGCGCAATGTTATCCAGCTTCAGTAGTTTTACTATCGTTAGTTTATAGATGAACATCATCAAACATGGTGGTTGGGAAATTATTTTTAAAAAAATACGAATGTATAAAAACTAAATTTGTAAACTCACATTACTAAACTTCTAAGTGATTAGACTTCAGGTCAACTAATGGTCTATGTTTACCATACACATTTCTAACCAGTCCAATCAACATGTGTGTATCTTATTAGACTACTCTCTACTTACCTATTTAACTTTGAACACAATATGATAACTCTGGCTTAATGCGGATAACTTAAATTACGTTTTATCTTTGTATCAATAAGTATCGTTCACCTGAAACAGAAACCAAACATGAAATATTATGTACAGTGATTTATTAAAAGTATCATTTACTCTGCTCATATACTTACTACCTTTTGGTTTGTTGTTACTTTTTTCCTTAATTTTTATTTTATTATCAAAATCCAATATAAATATGCCTTCAATGTTTCAAATATAAAGAAACAAGAGAATATGAGAAAAATAAGAGGAGGTGTAACGAATAATGTAGTACAGTTCGGGAAGGAAGAAATGATACAAGTTATACGACTGTAATTAGAATGTATTAGAAAAATATTTTCAAAACCTTGAATAAAAAGAACATAGATCTAGTAAGAATGTGCATCTGCCAAATATACAGAGTTGCGTATTAGGTTAAAAAAGATAAAATAAAGAATATAATTTTAGCTTCATGCCCGTCCGCCTTATTTGTTAGCTGTTTTCCCTAACATGGGTTACAGCAATGATAGTTAGACAACACAATTTTATAGTGTGGCTTTTATTTTTAAACTAAAT